TTATACTTTTTACAAGTCATTTTGCTTTCATTCCTTTTCCTTTCTTTCTTTCTTTCTTTCTTTCTTTCTTTCTTTCTTTCTTTCTTTCTTAAGAATCTATCTATCTAGTTCTTTCTTTTTTCTTTCCACATTCCTTCTTTCATTCGATCGTTTTTCATTTCCGTCTTTCTTTCACTTTTTCAATTACTTTGTTTTTCTTTCGCACTTTCTTTTCTCTTTCTTTCTTTCTTTCTTTCGCTTTTGGCTCTTTGTTTCTTTTTTGGTTCTTTCTTTCTCTTGTTTTTCGCTGTTTTTCTTTCTTTTTTCTCTCGCTTTTCGCTTTCTTTCTTTCTTTCTTTCTTTCTTTCTTTTTTCTTTCGCTTTTTGCTCTTACTTTCATTCTCTTTCCACTTTTTCCTTCTCTCGCTTTTCGCTCTTTCTTTCTTTCTTTCTTTCTTTCTTTCTTTGAAAAAGATTAATTTTTACGAAGAGAACCATTTTCCCTTCTCTTATTTTCTCTCTCTATTTTCTCCGTTTATTTTCTTCTATTCGCTTCATTCCATACTGAGGATATTCCATATCTTCCTGTGGCATGCACATTAAAACTGGTTAAAAATCAACTTTTGCCTAATAACAAACACAAGTATAGACTTATGAAACATTAGTTATTCGGAAAGATGAACAGAAGTAAATATAATAAGTTAATTATACAAATTACATTTAAAACTGATTACAAAAGTTCTAATATAGATTTTCAATTTAACTAAGTTTTTATGTTAAAAAAACCCCCCAAAAACGGATAATATTTTCATTCTGAAAGTAGAAACGTATTTTATACATAACGAGTTTTAAGGAATTTCAGACAAATAATTAGTAAAGAAATTTAAAAGGTTTCTTAAGTCGTATAACAATGGAATTAGCAACAAAAGTAAAGCAAGTACAGAGATCTCCAGATTTTATCAAACATGAAAGTAAATTAAACCTATTTCTGATGGTAATGACAAAAATATATAAAATCTATATGTATGTATGCATGTATGTATGTATATTTCTTACCATGAGACCCGGGTTCGAATCTCACCATGGTCAACTTGTCGAGAAGGAGTCTTTCTGATGTTATCGGTCTGGAGGGGCTTCCCGGCATTCAGCACATTTGGAAAGTGTCTGAAAACCATGCCACGCGTTGACCCAAGCCTTGTACGTGAAATTGGGTAAGACCTTGGGGTCCGTCGATAGTTGTGCTAACACGAAGTCACAAGTCATCGTGACCGAGGGTTTGAGTGTGCTGGCGTTGTTCAGATTGTTGCTCACGGTAGATAACACGCTCTCTTCCAGAAACCGTAATTAAGGTCTGATCAGCATAGAGTTGCAGTATAAAGGTTGGCTCTGGGGGTGTTGAAGAAACACAAATGTCTGCAATAGCGATTGGCTAGCCGCCCTAATAGATGGGTATCTTCAAATACGAGTGGCCAGCTATTATCATTTACATATATATGTATGTATGTATGTATTCCCCCCCTCTCCCTTTCTTTTTTCTTTCTATTTTTCACCCGTTCATATCTATCTATCTATCTATCTATCTATCTATCTATCTATTACCCCCATATATATTTTATCACTTAAATGCTAATTTTAAGCGGATACTCATATTTAAATAGACACACTGTTTATTTATTAAACTATATATTTATTTATTTTCGTCTACTGGCATGAATATTAGAGAAATCTTATTAAAAAAAGATACCCCCTCCCGAGGCAGGATTCGAACCTACATCTCCCGAGCAGGAAAACCATCGTTAGATCCGACGTGCTTTAGACCAACTCGGTCACGAAGGCTGTCGTCGATATAGCAAAGCTGAATAATTCTTTTAAGCGGATTTTTTTCAAAGATTCTTGAAACGTTCATATTACCTCAGTTTCGTATCCTAACGTAAACAAAGCAATTTCTAAAGAAGTGTCGGCTTTGTAATTGAACAATCTGACAAATTTTATCACTTAGACATTATTAGATGCACCCTCCGGTAGGATTCGAACCTGCATCCTCTTAGCTTTGCCCAATCGGAGTTATTAATAAGAAGAGTTGAAATTAATGCTCTAGCATCACTCTTTCATTGTCAGCCTATGAACATTACAGACCAGCCTCTTTCTTAGAGGAAACATCTGAGAAACGATATCCTCCCTGAACTGCTAATTGACTACTGTTTGTTTAATCAATCTCATTTTTATAGTTAACTTGTATACTATATGGATCAGAAACTTGGACATTATCTGTTCGTCTTGAAAGACGATAGGATGGAACATATATAAATCTACTTAGAAAAATCCAGAATATCAGCTGGAGATCATATGCACCGCTTAACACAGTTTACGCAGAACGGAGATCAATCTCTGTTAAGCTCAAACAAAAGCGATTGCAGTTTGCCGGCCATTGCGACCGATGGACAGGGAAATCGTCTCATACTTATTCCTATGGCATCCTTCTGGGAGAGTCTTCTCACGAAAATTTTCCCAGACACCATAGCTCAGGACTCAGGGTTGACCATTGGGGGCCTGGAACAACAATACAGGACCGAAAATGTGAAAAGGGATTGTCAAAGGAGTTCCAGTCAACCATAGGGAGGTCAAAGGATGATGATGATGATGATGACGATGGTAGATAACTTTCTGCATAACTGCATATATTTCTAAATGGGAGGGTGTTCTGTTTCTTCCGTCAATGGGATTTCCATCCAGTGGTTTGTTTTTAACCTAATTACGGCGATCATACGAGGGACATTCAATAAATAAGGTGAATTTTTCGGTATAAGGACTTCTCATACAGATAGAAGCTTACTTTTTTTTTGTTTTACTTCTTTTTCACATGGATTTAATTTCTTTTGCTGATTAAAAAAAAAAAAACTTTGAGAGTTTTGGCGATTAACAAAGATGGCCGACCAAGAATGCTCCAGGATTGAACAGCGGTCAGTTATCAAGTTTTTGGTTGCTGAAAGATGCAAACCAGTTGAAATTCATAGGAGAATGTTAACTGTGTATGGTCCCACATGTTTCAGCCAAAAAATGTCTACACGTGGGCTAAATTGTTTAAAGAAGGACGGAGCAGTGTTGAGGATGAAGACAGGCCTGGGAGGCCTACAGAAGTGAGGTCTCCTGAGGTGATCGAATCAGTCAATGACCTCATTCAGTCTGATAGAAGAACTACTGTGAACTGCTGAGGCAGGTCAAGAAAGACATAAAGAACAAACACAGGGGTCATCAGTCAGAAGGAGTCATCTTGCATCATGACAACGCAAGGCCTCACACAGCAGCCCAAACGGTGCAGACCATCAACGAGCTGGGCTGGGAACTGCTCCCTCATCCCCCTTACAGCCCAGACCTTGCCCCTTCAGACTTTCACCTGTTTGGTCCCTTGAAAGCGTTCACAAGAGGCACGAAGTTTAAAAGTGACGATGAAGTCAATCGTTGTGAGCGACATCAGTCATAAGATTTTTACTCTGAGGGAATATGGAAGATTGTGCACAGATGAGAAAAGTGTGTGACAGTGCTGGGAGACTACGTTGAAAAATAAAAAAAAAAGTAAGCTTCTATCTGTATTAGAAGTCCTTATAGCAAAAAATTCACCTTATTTATTGAATGAACCTCGTATATTAATTTATGGACATAATTACATACAAATGCATATAAAACTGTGTACCGTATATACTTGTGTATAAGGCGAATTTATGTATAGTGCGACCTCTGAATTTTTTTTTTGTATGGATTTTAATCCTCCCAGAGAAGTGCGTTTTTGTGTAACAGATAACGGCTCGGAATAAGAAATCGGTGAGCCGAGTTCGAATTCCAGTCGGGTTTGTTACGTTCACTTACGCGCAAATTCCCTTGGGAAAGTTATGAATCCTTCTCTTCTCCACCTAGCAATGGGTTGAATAGCAAGACCGACTTGGTTCCATAGCCTTGGTTGGAAACCAGTCTACCACAGGAAGAAATGGCAAATTAGTACGGGAAAATCATCTAGCTTATCAGTCATGAATCGAAAGAAACATAATCGCCTAAGCTTTGATAGTGCAGCCGGAAATCGAAAATATATTATTTTTTAACCACGTTAAAAAATGCGTGTATAGTGTGACCTCCTATATGTTGGCTTAAAAAATTGATCATAAAAAAACAACATTATACGGTATACGTGCGTGTAAACTGAAGTTTTCATGAGAAGCGTCTAAAAATGAACAACAAATTGAATCTGATATTTAATTCAGAAAACCTTTGCAATGTCAGTTAAATGATTGCGTTTAATAAGAATTTAGAAAGAGTATTACTGGAATGGTTATTTGTTGTAATATTTAAAAATATTTTCTTCAAAACGTATAAGATTAAAATAAGATTTGTGCGTATTCATTTCGCCATATTCAATTCGATATGTACCAAAAATAACTAATGCTGCAAAATGAGCAAAAATGACGGACATGATTCATCAATCGATGAATAATATCAATGCAAACACGGTCTTTCTGTATCTGATTACTGATATACAATCGTTCCTTTTCTAAGACACGGGAATTCATTCATTTATTATGCGGGATGTGTTGAGTCTCTCACTGTTCTATCGCTATTACCATGGAAAGGGCCCTACATTTATTGGTACCGCCAGGTCTAACTTCCACGACTAGGAACCGCCAACTTACATAGTTGCTAACCACTCATGTTCCGTCCGCATTCTCTCTGCGAGAAGTAAGTTCTACTCAAATATAATTCTTCCTGGGAACAACTACACCGTAGAACAGACTCCCTAGAGGATGCATTCTCCATCATTACAATCTTAACCTGTTCAAGTCTTGAGTTAACCATTCTGTCTATATCAACTACCCCTTAAGGTAACCCTAGTATGCCCCGGGCCTTTTATAGGGTGAAACTTTCTGTAAAAATAAATTCCCGGCTACATTTTGCCTCATTTCATTCCTCACTTATAAAAATCTAAATACTGTGTACGAGGGGATGCTCCGAAATTAATGCCCTATACAACAGATACATAGAGTAGAATAACGCTTTTTTTTAATCATATCAACTCAAGGAAGGTACTAAAGCCACTAAGATGCAAAAAGTTAATGAGAAAGAAACAGAGTGGACTATATAAGAATTTGATTCAATAAGACAAAAATGATTGATGTTGCATTTAAATTTTTGAATATTGTAATTGTCAGGAAAGCAGGAAACCAAAAGAGAGTTTTACAAGAGAGAAGTGTAAGAGGAGAACCTATTACCATAGAACTTACAGTTACAACTAGCAATTTCAACAGTATAGTGATGGGACCTAACTTCCAATCTAGTACTACATTACTTTAAACTTGAAGACACCTTTCAAGTATGAAATGTTATGTGGTTCCAATGATCGACATTGTTTAATTTAAGCTGACTTTCATTACATATTTTAATATGTGTAAGGAAAGTTAAAAAAAATTCTTATATTTGGTTATC